AGCATTAGTTGTGTTAATTAGGGTTACGTTTTTGGATTATTAATGCATTATAATATGCCGTTCGTTCAATGTGTGTTTATCTTGAATATATTTGGACGGTCGCTATTATTTTTATTAGGTGATTAAATTTACACTACCATTCATTTCCTATAGGTAACTAGATGAATCTGAGAATCGTTTATTCGTTATACTTCGCGATGTTCTTCTGGTAATTTTAAATGAAGGTTCCAACTATCGCGGGAATTTTCATGTTTTGTGATCTATGCATTATTGTACATTAGACAGTAGGTACATTTTTAAATATTTGATGCATATTATAATATTCGGTTTCCCGAAAATTAACTTTTTTTATGCTTCGAGCAATTAATCAATTGTTGCGAATGATTACATGGCCGAATAATTATTTTTGGAAGGAATTTCAGTACAGTCAGACGGTTTTTCTATTTTCCTTGAAATAGTTCCTATATACTCCCAATTACTAATACAGTGAATTAGATATAATGTGGCATAGGCAGATTGTTTTATTTGAATGAATAATGTTTTGTGATCTATGAGTTATTGTACAGTAGGGTCATTTTTTAGATGCACGATTATTGAATATTTGATGTAAGTATATAATATTTGGTTTTCCGATAATTAGAATTGATTTTTCAAACTTGGTGCGATTAATCAATTGTTGCGAATGACTACTTGGCCGAATCTTTATATTTGGAAGGAATTTCAGTACAGGGTGTTCCTCTTGCACAGGGCGCTTCTTTAGGTCAGACGGTTTTTCTATTTTCCTTAAAATAGTACCTATATCGGAACATTCAATTACTAATACAGTGAATTAGATATAATGTGGCATAGGCAGATTGTTTTATTTTTCGAATAGTAAACCTACATATTTGAATGAATAATGTTTTACGATCTATGAATTATTGTACAGTAGGTACATTTTTTTAGATACATAATTATCGAGTATTTGATGAGTGTATAATATTTGGTTTTCCGTTGGTTAGAATCGATTTGACTCTAACCGCTGCTAGTACACTTATTATCAAATAGAAAATAATTATTCAATTTGTGGTTTGTGTGGTCTGACTACTTCAATCAATACTTTGTCAAATTAATCAACTAAAGCTTATTCAAATCATTTATTTAAATAGAGAGAAATTACAAAAAAAACATCAATGTCTCATTTTCTTCGCCAAGTTCCTCGGCTTGGTCCTCAGAGCCTCTGTAGAATATGGTGGATATCTAGTTCTTCTCTTCTTCTTGGACCATTTGCTCGTGTCGGCATTCGAAATATCCCATACGACGGTTTCTTGATCCCATATTTCAGAACTCTCACGCCGTTCTTCATCTGCCTCTACTTGGATCTCACCATTTATTTGGCGCCTCTGAGCAATGGCGTCCATTACCATCTCGATTGTTACATTTCGCCCATCCATGTTCATTTCAATCAGCTGGTGAACGATTCAGTTAACTTCTTTTGAAAATGGTGCATGTATTTGAGGAGATGTTTTATTTATAGTCAACTAGTTCCTCCCTCCCTAGAGCTTGGAAAACACTCCCCCCCCCTCTAAAGAGCTGCATCTACTTTTGTTGCAACTAGATAGTTTTGAAATTGCCTCAGACTGTCGACAGCAAGTTTTTCAATCTTCTTAGAAATCACATCCAATCGTTCATTCAATAGTCCCAATACCACACAATCTCTATCGCTAGATGGCAGCCCAATATTTGTTAAACGCTTCTCCTGCATGTCATAATCTCCATTGTCGTCAAGTTTGAAACCGATACCTGGCCGCCCTTGAAGCGAACTCATTGATTTGCTTCTCTTACGTCCAAACTTATCAATAGTTTCATAAGACATCTTCTTCATGCGGTAGCTTAATATGGACTGACTAGATCAGAGATGACTATGGGGTAATAAGCCATCTGGGTATACGCCATTATACACTACCACTTATATCAGATAAACTTTTCACATAGATATTTTTTGGGTTCGATATATTCAATTAAATAAAACGAAAGATATTCTTTACCAATACCTCTATTTATTGAGAAAAAAAAAATACTATAAACTAAATATTATATATATAAAATTAAACTAAAATTGTATATAATTCCTCAGAGCTTCGTCCAAAAGTTCCTCGTCGTCCGTATCCATCTCCATATCTTCTCGGATATGTGCATCAAAGATGTGGGGCCTCCGATCTCTTGGAGGCGGTTCGACGTCGCTCTCTTCTTCTTCTTCGGAGCCACTGGCTCCTGAACTCTCGACGCTGCTGCCCTCCTCCTCCTCCCCCTCACTATCGGCGATAACGATAGTGGCCGCCGTTGTAGAATCACAGGGCCCAGGTGACTCCGCCCTTCCTCGGACACCTCGCACCTCTACATCTATAGAGCTGTCCGCTCCCCCATCTATCGACTCAAGGTGCCTCACAGGCCTCATTGAAGGCCTAGTTCGCCCACAGTCTGTGGTGGTCGTATCTGCTTCCATTACAATTACCAAATCCATTTGTAAGTTTTGGAATAGACTGACAACTCTAGAGGAGTTCTGCTGTTTTATACAATATATGGTGGAGGAGGGGTTGTACATAATGGGGAGGGGTGCACATAGTGGGGTTAGTGGGAGGGGGTATGAGTATAGTGGGGGTAGTGGAGTGAAAGATAGTTGAGGTGAGAGTAGTGGGGTAAAAAAAGAAAAATTCCAATTCATATACATATTGTATTACAAAGGAATATTCAATACATGTAACATGTAATGGTGAATACATTTTCAATGAAGCGATCATCTTATAATACAACTATACATAATTTATACATTTTGAATACACATATTTACAATGGACCTATACTAAGTTCGCCCCAAGTACTCTGCATTCGCCCGATTATAATGCTCGAGGCGAGTCTTCTCTGTTTCGCAGTCCTGACGAAATTTTTCCTCAGCTGCTAGCTGCAGATCCATTTCAGCCAGGCGTGAAAGCAACTCATCTCTTTCCGAAGAAATGGACTGACTTTTTGTTTCACTTCCTGCGATCAGTGAATCCACGTTCGCATACCACTTCCTCAGTGCTTCATCATATTTCCTTATCAGCTCAAATGGAGCTTCTGGAGGCGGCGGGATACGATCGTGAACGGGAGCATCATATTCGGTACCGCCACCAACAACAACACAACCGTCGGTCGGCTGTTGCTCTTGTGGAGGTGGCGCATCCACATCAATCGCTGCAACACTTTCTCGTTGAGCAGTTGGTGGGTGCACCACATCTACACGAATCACATTCACCGTTCTTGTAGGTTGTGGGTGCTGCTGATTCTTGTGGCATTTATACCACTTCGACACCTTACCACCCTGATAGGGATTTGCTTTGCCCTTATCATCAAGAAACTTATGAAGGATAGATGAAGGTCCAGCTTCCCCCTTATTCTTCATAGAAGTTTCTCGATAATTAGTATGCCTTGATTTGGCCGATGACATTGATGGCAGCAATGATGATGATTTTTTTCTCAAAAAAAGTTTCTTACCCTTTCTAGAGGGCATAAAGTCCTCATCACCATCGCCGCTTTCACTACCATCTTGAAATACTGGCGTGGGGCTAGCCGGCGTTAGCTTTGCCTGCGGTGAAGACGCCAATTTGAGCCCTTTAGTAGGTCTTCTACTTGCACTGCCGCTGGCGCCGCTAACGCTCGCTGGCGAGTTGGCAAACTGTTGTGGTGGTGATGGCAGTGACGAAGCACCAATTTCTGGCGCACAGAGTACTCGAGGCGTGAAGTCATTCGCCCATGCTTCCTCTCCATTCAAGAACTCGCCGATCTCCCTACTGAGCCACCTTCTTTGCGAGTCGGTCTGCAATTCTGGGTCCATAGGAAGATCACTTATGGACATGTCTGAAACAAGGCATTAGGGAAATATCGAAAAAGTTACAGCATGGGTGATATGAAAACTCACCTAAGTCAGGAGAACTCCCCACACCTGGACCCTCCTCTTCGATGAAGGCCGCGTCCGAATTCACTGGAGTAGACATATCTGAAACAATATATCAGCATTGTAGAGGAAGTGAAACGAAAAATATGGATGGTATCAAAACCAATGATGATATAATATATTAGTACTTACTCGTAAGTTGTTGTTTTGGGGCGGCAACGGGCTGGCTCAAACAAAATGCGGTGGTATATGATTGGACAAGTTGGTATTCTGGTTGTAGGCAATATCTGCTAACAGAATGAAGAGTGACTGTAAGCACTTCTGGTTTTATCTACTAACCTCCCACCGCATTTTCCCTCTCTCTACTCCCACCACCACCGCTGTGACCTTACATGCTAACTTGCGAACACTATTTTCACCTTGTGGATATTGACACCCCAAGGGCGATTTCATTCCAAGGACATTTATACCACGTATCATGAAGGTCATTATCTGAGGTGCGAAGGAAACAAAATTCAATTGAATAAAAGATTTATTCACACACACACGCGGTATAGAATAGCAGTATACAAGAATATACATTTCAATAAATATGTACATGTACAATGGATATAATACATTTGTAAGCGCAAAATATCAATGGATATAATACAAGAAGGAAATTAATCTAGAAACATTCATTTTTACAATTAATTCAGAGTTGGGTATAGAATTCACTATTAAGTTTGGGATTGTTCCATCAACATTTTTATGAGGTAATCCAGGTTACCATCATCGGAATTATCTTTATGGCCTGATGCTTCCATAGAACCAACCGCCTGTTGGAACCAAAGCAAATTACGTTCGGGGCTCGTTTGATAAAATTCGATGTCATTGTGCCCCCAAGGTAATGTTTTAGCCGTATTAGGTATGATAAATCGCTTGTCGTCATGATATGAAAGGGCGACTTTGTTCCTCATTTCAGTATAGATATCATGTCGCTCGCTGCGGAAACTACACATTTTTCTGAATATCAAACCACCCTTTTCAACAATTTTCTTATAATCGTCTAAAGTTAATTGATTTTTAACGACTGCTCTAGACACACCCTTTGCTTTCTTCAATTCGCTGCTCAAAGATTGAACATAGTATGCTTTGGCACCGGTTCCATAGAAACTTACAATAGGGTCATTCGGGAATTCATCCTTCATATTTCCTACTACGGATTTTGTAATTGGGATATTAAATTTATTATCTGCAGGATAATTAGATGTGTCGAAATAGCTTATATTTTCCTTCATGAAATTGTAGAAGTTTTCTGTTTCTATCTTCAATATCAATGAATCTGTGTCCGTGTACAGTAACTGTGATTTCCGAACATAATTTTTCTTAATACATTCATATAAAAAATTATATATAACAACTTTCGACACATCTAATATACTGAAACCTAAATAAAGCGGTTTATCGTAATGTACCCTCACTCTACCCATATGGATAGCGACAAAATTTTCGTGGAATACCTTACAGGTTTTGAAATTTGGGAGTGCTATCAACACATTGGCACCCTTTTTCGATTTTATACTCTCCCAATGGGTAACAAGTTTGATATCACTCCTTTTATCTACATTTTCCATCGTTTTACCATAAACTGAGTTCACCATATTCTTGTATAAACACTTGTCGGCTTTGTTTTTACTTTTGTTACGCATCTCTGTATTGAGGTCAACGTATTTTTTCAACCATGGTGATTGAAGAAACTTCAAGGCCCTATGGATTTTAACCAATACCAAACCATTTTCAATAGCCTGTTTCAGATTTCTATAATGAACGATATATTTAATTTTGTTGAAAAGATTAGGAATCAGTTTTTTCAGCTTAGAAGTCGAACCAGGAGGGACAATGGATTCCACGAGGAAAGGGAGATCTGAGTGGACATCATGTAATTCTTGGGGGTAGTACACATCCACTTCGAGTACATACCCACATGGGCTATCATCTGCAACACTCATTATATCTAATTCGCTAATTTCCTGATTAGTTAACCACTTGAAATCGGAAGTGGGTAGCGGTTGTGACATACTATGCCCATATAAGTTAGTCGCATCTAAATACATTATGAATGATGAAGGCTCGCTTGGATTGAAATTTGGGAGGAACTGATTGTTTGCTACATGGCTCCTCAAGCTACATTGGCTTATCCCCCCTCTTATGCCTTTTTTGAAGAAATTTATCATGTCAATGTCGGTCAACAACTCCAATTCGATTTTCGTATACCTCAACATAGCATCCCACGATAAACCGGGTGCTGTATAATATTGGCACGGATCTAACTTATACGTTTTCAAACAAACCTCCCGAAAGTTCTCGAACACATCGCATAATAGAAGAACATCCGATTTCAAATAAGCGTCTGAATAATCCCCTAGCGTTTTACATTCGAATAATTTCCACACGTGCTCAGCTCTTCGATAATCCTCATCTGAAATGTGCCTATTAGATAAATTATCGTAAAAATCATTTCTAGTCGGTAAATTTTGATTGTCGAGTTTATCTATGGAGGTTACGAAGCTATATGGGAAAACACCTTTCTGTGTCATATATTCGAATTTTTCGCGATCTGGAAAATATCTAGCCGTTTCGACAAACTGATCTGTATTCAAATTCCCGGCTAATGATTGAAGAGGTTGTGCGAGAAATTTGTAACTATCTAAGAATCGGAGTTTCAGAAAGATATTATGATTTTGACCATTTTTCCCCAAATATTCACCAACTAAAATGTGCTTAGTAAATGAAATATATTTTTCCTTAGTTTGTACGACACAATCAACTTTCTCTTCGCGATCAAATAATTGCTTTATGAATAGATGGCTATCATAGCCGCTCATATTGTGAAAGAAAATTGGTATGAAATTCGGGATTTTGTAATTCAAATTGCATGCTGAATGTGCTGCCCCAAATCTTTTTTTACCCGTCAAATGACAGTGATCTCTCACTTTTACATCACCTAACCGGAATGGTTTTTCGCAAATGCCACACTCGGTAGCATTAGCAAAATCGGCTTCTTCTACTTTCGTTAATTTTCTCATTGGAACTACGTTCTTCAGATATAAGTCATATATTTTTTTCGAATCATTTACTATACTAGATACAAATTTCTTCGCCGCATCTTTTCCGCGGAATGTAACAAATTTAGTGATGGAATTGTCGTAGGAGCATTTGATGAGGTATGCGAATGAGTATGGTTCATGCACAAATGTTCTATTAGTATAGGATTTCTTCGGGTCCGGCTCACTAGTGTGTATCGGCTTCAAAACTGATTCGAAATCCGCATATATAACAAAAGGTACCATCATTTGTTTCTCAAAATTCTCAAATTTCAAAATATTTTCAGGTACTGAATTTCCAAATTTATCTACTTTGACTGCTGTAGTTGGTGTTGTCGTAAATGTGTGATTACAGTCGCTCAATTGATGGCGTAATAGCTTAGCCTCATCCGAAAAATGTATCAAACACCCATCGCAGAAAAATTTCTTATGCCCGTTCGAGGACATTTGGGCGGACACCAATCTAGATAAATGTTTTATCCAACAATAGTGGCTCTCACCCGAATCATTCGTTATAAGGAGCAAGTTCACATGTTTACTCATTCTTTTCTTCGAATAATAGAGTGGGCCGACAACGTGGTATTTAACTTGTTGATTTTCTATTACGCTTTCTAACCCATAAACGTTGATGGAGTTTCAAATTTTGGAATTTTACTTACTTTCATAGGAAACTCTATACCACTCAGATTCAAAACTGTAGAGAAGTGCGGGTATGAAGATATCTCACAAAGTTTGGCCCTTGCTGGATATAGGGCGGACGTCACGGCCCAAGCAAAACATCATTCATCCTGATTCACCACATTCACTACCGCCCTCTTATTGTCTATGAAACTAGGTAGTTTGATGTAGGAACACCCACGCAGCGGACTGTATTTATTGATGTTTATTTCGAGAAATAGTATTTTCTCTAGAGCCCAACCTGTAACAATGGAAAAGTGATTGTTTTATTTATTCAAAGAATTGAGTTATATAGATGTGATAATGCAGATATTCAAATCATTCTCAACTCACCGGAATCGCGTTCCTCAAATTCAGTTGTTTGGTTCACGATGATGTCTTTGAATGTATCGATGATGGCATCCAAATCAAGGGATGAATCTACGATGTGATTCGGTGTCGCAAAGGATTTGATGTCGTGAAGATCCTGAGATTGTAGAATATATCTACCGAATACTTCCATATTAACCTTGATGGTGTGGTGAATCGACAGCATATTCCCCAATAGGGATGATAAAGTCACCTTATTTTCGGTAAAGAACGTGTTATAATCCAAGACATCCGTTCTACATTCCAATCTATAACTGATAATGCGACACTTGAATGCGTTTTCGATAACATATACACCATCTCTATAATTAACGCAAGCGTTCGAACGATGTTCCAAAGTCCTTTTGTGGGCAGCCATTTTATCGATTGGAACGGTTTTATTGCAAACGGTACACGCTTGCATGTTGCCAGACGTTGATGCTTGATGAATAGTATCACCCAACCGCGGCCTCTTCGACATTGGTGGATCGAGATTTCCCACACACGACTTTTTTTGGTGGCGGCGTAAATTGTCACTGCGAGTGAAAGATTGGCCACAAACGCAGGTCAACATGTTTATCACTCGCGAAAAGAAACGATAGAGTTGAACGATCGACGATGTCAGGAAGACTACAGTCTGGGCATGCAGAAATCGGATTTATAGAAGAGGGGAGTCGTGGCGTAGCCTCACCCCACTACACCATCAAACAGCCTTGGGAAGAAGAACACATGCGCACGAGAGTGGATGCACTCAACCCAAGGCCACCACGACAATTGTCCGAGATGAAACCTCCGTATCCCTCCCAAGGTCACTCCCAAGGTCACTCCCAAGGTCACTCCCAAGGTCACTCCCAAGGTCACTCCCAAGGCCACTCCCAAGGTCACTCCCAAGGTCGCTCCGAATGTCACTCCTCCAAGGCCACCCCCAAGGTAACTCCCCCCAAGGTCACTCCCCCCAAGGTCACACTCCTCTGGCCTTGGGGGGAGATTTGGAAATGGCCAAAGCCTTCTACTGATACTCATATTATTTAACATAGCCCCTCAATGTAAATGTAATAAACTCATAGAAAACATTGTTTTTGAATTACATTTAGATTGCACAAGAATTCTCCTATTCACTTACTAAACACTCTCTAAACTTCTGAAATTTCTCTTTACCTAGAGCCTTTGTAAAAATATCTGAACAGTTTTCATTTGAGCATACATATTTGAGAAAAATTTGTTTCTCAACACACAGATCTTTAATGAAATGATACTTGATTTCTATGTGCTTACTACGTTTGGAATTTTCAAAATTTTTAACTAAAGAAATAGCACTAAGATTATCCAATTTCAGAATAATTGGATTGATCTCACCAAATTCTGATAAAATACCATTCAGATTGATGAGTTCTTGCGCTGCCACACCTGCGGAGACATATTCAGCCTCCATTGAGGACAGGGCTACACAGTTCTGCTTTCTGGAGTGCCAAGCAATGATGTTTTCAGCATGAAAACTAACAAATCCACTGATGCTTTTTCTACTTTGTTTGTCACCACCCCAGTCTGCATCACATACTCCTTCTATACCACTGCCTCCTTTTGTGAACTTCAAACCGTAGCCTCTTGTAGTATTTAGGTAACGCAGAATTCTCTTGCCAGCCTTCCAGAGCTGCATTGTTGGATGATCTAGATATCTGCTTAAGAAAGATACACTATAGGCAATATCTGGTCTGCTGACAATAGATAAATACATCAAACAACAAATAAGTCTTCTGTAAGGAACATTTTCCAAAACTGATTCATTTTCATCTACTTGAAAGTTTTTCTCCATTGGGGTTTCGATAGGATGACATTCTGTCATGTTAAATTCGCTGATCAGTCTTGAAATCATCTTTGTTTGATTGACCTTCAGTCCATTTTCAATTTTTGATATTTCCATTCCTAAGAATAGAGTCACTTCGTTTTTATTTTTGACTTTAAACTCATGATACAAGTCTTGAATCAATTCTTGAACTTTGGAGTCTGGTCCAGCAATCAAAGCATCATCAACGAAAAGCACCAAATATACATCATCTTTAACGTACAGACAATAGTCATATTCTGACCTTCGGAACTGTAATTTCATCATTACTTCTGTAAATTTAATATTCCAGCATTTTGGTGCATTTCGTAAACCATATAAAGCACGATTCAACTTCAAATACTGTGAATTGCACTTTAGGCCTTCTGGTTTCTTGATAAACACTTCA